AAATGAACAAAAAAACCTTGTTCTTTCAAGTCAGTTCCCGGTGTTGGCATGCAAAGTGGTATTGATTATTACCTCATTTTCTATTGAGGACATTTTTGAAAACCTCATGTAAGACGGGATTTTGTAATATTTATGGGTGGATCTATCATTATGTGGAGCAGTGTACTCCAGTTTGGCAAAAGTCCCTTCTAGTGAGCGCGTCTAATGTGGTGGAGCTTAGAGACAGCGCCCACGAACAATGAGATGGTGAGATGAAAGAACCCTCTACTGCACAAGATAGGGGAGTCGGCAACGATAAGCTGACTACACCTTCGTAAGCTGGTTCCTCCTCGATCATTTTTTGTTATCAAGATTCATTACCGGTTGTAAGTGCTAAGGTTGGGCGTGTCGGCCAGTATGAGTCTGTCACAACCGTTCTCTGCCTTCTTGCTGAAACGCGCATGCGACAAAAAGTGGTAGAAAACGAGTAATACGAAGGATATGATAGAGTATTGCGGAAAACGGTACAGATGACAGCGCGACCTGCTTCTGCTCGCTCGCATTCTTCCTCCAAATCAATATCTCCCTCTGCTAAGGTTGAGCCCCACAAAGGAAAGGATCATTGCATTATTGCAGGCGCTCAGAGAGGGACGCTACCCAGTTCCACCAGGTTCTCTAACTGCCCCTACGGATTGCTCTGCAGGAAACGGCCTGGAGTTCGCGCTACATGCCCCTCAAAATGGACCTGCCTTGCCGCCGCCTGTAACATGGGCGCTAGCTGGTTTCGGGTCATACGGACGCCACAATAGTGTCAGGATGTCCAACTACCGCTGAAGGACTCAGCGAGGCGGTTGCTAACTTCAGAGAGCTTGTCCAAACTCTGATTAAATAGGTGCGATAGAGGAAAAAATACAAACAAATCGCAGAAGCAGACGGTATAAAACGCATTTTGGGAGACCAAAACCGCACCGATGGAGAGAAGTGGGCTTGGCTGGCTGGGTTTGGTCTGCTAAAAATTCCAGTTTGGTATGGTATTTGTAGTTGTATAAGGCATGAAGAGGCGTTGAAGTTCGTTTGAGAAGTGCTCGATTTAGTATGGAAAGTGCATCACTTATTAAAATGGAAATGATATCAGGTAGGGGTAAGAGGGGCAGCGCTTTATTGCGTGAACTACTTTGTATGGAATTGGGATCAAAGTTAATACCTTAGCACCTTGCTTCAGCCTGAGGTTCACATAATTACAAAAAGAAAGCTTTTTGGTAAACACTCTTTTCTACACAAATGAGTCAACTCAGCCCACTCACCTGTCAAAGAGATTCTGGAAAGCGGTTGTGAACATCTAAATTTGCGTTTCTTTCAGAATGCATCACAGTCACTTGAAAATCTGAAGACCGCCCTAGTAAACTGGGCAAAACAGTATGGAGTTCAGGTTAGTAAAACTTACCATAGATTACTGTTTCGAATAGCTAAGGAACACATAATCTAGAACGAGTACCGCACAAATGGAACGGGACAATGCTGACTTTAAAACTGCCGTAAAGGATTTGATGCCGAAACTTGCTACCTATTTCACTAACTATGTGAAGATTATGGACGATAAGGCAAGAGAGCTCTTTTTTGTTAAAATGTTCCGACAAATCCTCTCAAAATTCTCATTGATGAAGAGGAAAGCGTAGATGCTTCAATTAGGGTTTCACCTAATGGTGAGCAGTTATCAGTAGATGATAGAGTCGAGTCCAGTTGAAAGGGAAAGTGATTAAGTCAAGCTAAATATATCAAAACTTCTTCAAAACTTTCTTAGTGTTTAATTGATCCGTCGAAATCTTTCGGAGCGGTTTTCAGAGGGATGGAATGGGCGCACCCGGGGCGCTGTCACCACTATGATGCCCAACTGATCACCATTGGTGGGCAGGGCCACTGGAGGCGACTCACTCCGCCCCTACTGCTATCGGTAAGGCGGAGGAAGCTTCTTCCATTCTCTCTAGCTCCTTTTATTAGTACTTGTCAAACGACAGGCCTCTTTTTGTTGAGATCCATAAACACCAGTGGAAGTGCAAAATGGTTTGAGTGAGCAACTTCGGCCACGGACATTACAGGTCTTCGCAAGGTGGCCTGTGCAACCTCATCTGGGTTTCACTAGGTGCCCCCACCTAGTGATGCCTATGTGCGCTTAGAATTGCCATGAAATACGGTATTCACTGTGACCAGTGATTTCCTCTCAGTGATTTTTACCGGCTTTCTTTCGCCGAAGTTTGATTCGGCCAAAAACTTCATTTCAGAGGAAATTTTATTCCGTGATTATGAATACAACATCCGCTTGCCACGGTCTAGCGCCCGTGCTACAGACACCTGTATCAGGAAAGGTTTGTGCTAGCGAGGCAACGTTTAGGGAGCGTGCATCAGAGTTAGTGGCAAGCGAATGTTATGTTTCTGCTCAAAAGCTCAAACTATACATAGAGCCCAAATTCAGCCAAACGCGCCTTCGGAGAAAAAGGTCGGTAGAGATCTGGCCTGATTTTTCAAGGAATGATGCAGAGAGGGGTAAATAGTGCTGTAATGTTATTTTTGCACATGAACACCATTTCCAGAAACAGTCAATTGCAAGTGCTTTCACCGAGATAACCGATCTGGCCAAACCGCTCGACGCTAAGCAAAAAGCAGTCGCTGAATATATAATGAGGCTTTACCTGCCTTCAGTGAACGAATTCCCAGGTAAATCCAATCCATATGCCATGGCAAAAGCTTGGGCCCTCTTGAGAACATAACTACAAAATGTTTAGGTATTAACGACATCAATGGAAGACCAGGTAGCAATAATGATTTCAATGGAAATAATGGCGGATTCGGAAACAGCAAGACAGGATATCCCTGGAATAACAACAACGACAACGGATAACAGAACAATGCTGGATTCCCAAATGGCAATACATGGATCAACGAAAATCACCACAATGGATACCCGGGAAACAACTTTGGAAAT